TCGGGAATCGGACCCGGGACAACAGGCTTGAATTATCTACACGCACAGTGGTGAGAGACAGCGCGTTAACAGCGCATGCCAACTAAGATTTCGCCTTCCACTATAGCAGCAACCACTGACCGCCAAGCAAYGCARGCTATGTAAACCATGAATAGAAAAWTTGGAGAAAAAGYRRGGGAAAAAAGTATCTGAAAAGGATATCCAAATCTGACAAGGTTGGTKTGTAGAGAAAACATTTCTCCACGTTCCCTTGATTTCTTCATCATTTACTTTAACAACAGTGTTGCACGCGGACACCTGAAATGGTAGAATCATTGTATTTAGTATTTATGCCACACCATTGAAAATACAGCCAATCAGAATACAGGAAAGCTCTTGTACATTTGCTGGTGTCCCACTCTTCCTCCCCATCAGACAACGCGGCTAACGCGGCCTGCAGTTGTTTTTTTTTCAATCAATGATGAGGGATGACATAGTTGTATGAATGTTTCTCATGGCACACAAAAACATATCTCACTTTTCACAAGTATTTTCTTGCGGTATACAGCTATTTCTAAAAAAAAATGTTGGTAAAGGTTTTGTTCCATGTTGCTTATCAAGCCCGAAATGCAATATGGGCGATGTGAATCCAATCAGCAAAACGTCACAACAATATGGACTTGAATTTTCCCGCGCTTTAATGCGCGTTTTATCCGGCGGCATATTTTCTTCTGTGCTGATATTATTTGCATATAATCCACAATACATTTTAGGCATGCATGGCATGCAACATGCAACGAAACCTTCATCGAACTTTTCTGAAACAGCTGTATACAATTCTTTGAAGGTTCGCATTTATAGTAGAAAATACAGAGCAACTCAAGGAATATTCCATTCTCAAAGTCTATCTTAGCGCCCTTTGTCGAATTTGCTCTTTGGATTCAAATGCATGCGCTTCGAGTTCACCATCGACAAGCTTGAAAGCACCAACCATCTGCTGCGCAGGTCCCCCGCCCGCCCCAATTGTGAGTTGGCGAGTGCGACTGTGAGCGAGTGTTCACCAGCCCAGAGGTTGTTTCAGGGATCGATAAAAAATGGCACGATTAACGGTTCTGTTTTTAGYTTACCTTGATTGGCTGTGAAAATTGGACAAGTAACGTGACATGGCCAGGAAATGTCTTGACGTACATACAAGTGATATCCATTGGTATTTGAGCTATGAATGGGATTACAAAACCTCAAAGAGATTAGGATTAAAATACATACCAATATCAATTCTTAATGCATGACTCTATACTGAGCCTGCTTTTCAGATGCGACAGAATAAGCTTAAGCTAGAAATCCTTCCGATCTCGCTTCTGTCGCGCCCCGAGCCCGTTTTCTGAATTAACTTTGTCATAAGTTCCCGCCAAAACCACAGGAACTCCAATTGTATAAATGGCTTCTTGAGATCCCGACATTATGAAAATAGGTTTAATAACYCAAGTTAGTAATTATTTAAATCTTTCCAAGAACTACTGATAGCTCATCTAGGGGGATTACAATGCTTCAGTGTTAAAAATATTTATAGACTGCGAGCAGWCCCTCTATTTTCCTTGGTCACTGTCCGTCTGTCTGTCCGTGTCGATTGGCCGAGGAAGATTGGTTACAAGTAAAAAAGTCTGTGGGGGAGTGGGCTGGCGAGGGAGGGACGAAAGGAAAATAGAGGGACTGCTCGCAGTCTAGAATATTATGTCTTACCCACCTCTTCCCAGCAGCCATCTATGGTAAAACCACGCACTCTGATCGTTAGGGTCCGTGAAGAAAGCATTTTGAGCCAATTCAAATTCTGAGAATCAGACATAGAGAATGGCGAACAAAATCATATCAATCCCAAAACGAATTCCATTACAGCGCTTCTYAATCAAACRCGCGAGAGAGCACACAGAACGCKGTGTRCACTTTCTATTTTTTCATTCATCAAAAGTAATGACTAAAGTAGTTTGYAATTTWAAAAAATATTTGAGATATAACGCGCGCGCTGATTGGCTGGCTAMCGTGTTTATATTAGAGAACAGAGACAAAGAGTTCATTATAGTTTATATTAGAGAACAGAGTTCAAAAATATTTTATAAAAGCAATATGAAACGAGTGCTTAGCTCTTAGTCTGTACTTTGACATWAACACTCTGGAAGCTGTAAACCAATCACGATRCAGAGTGAAAACGGTAGCCWATCAGGAGAGAGCAGAATTAGAACTCATTGACCTCAGCCAATCCCGATGTTTCATTCCCACGGTTGTTAGTATCCACGTTTTTTCTCAGATATAAATTAGATCTTTTAACTGAATATAATCAAATTAAACTCAAAGACCTCAAAAGGAAATGTCCCTGGGAATCAACTCAGTTTGTTTCCAAAAATACACACATTAATATAGAAGAATTTCAACAATCCAATGAATCCAAGATGGCCACGTAAGGTTACACTTGAAATTTGTGGGGATAATTTGCTGCTGACAAGGTTATACTTGCACCAGGAGCGTTGGTAGAGATCAGAATTTTTCCTCGATGTAGTACATTTAATATAATTTGGATGGTTGAATAGATGGTTGTT